CCCCAAAACCCCAAAACCCCAAAACCCCAAAACCCCAAAACCCCTTCTTAATAATTATTTATAGAATAAATATGATAAGCTTTAGGGCTGAAGATAATTTGGATGAAAGTAGTTCGGACAAAAGCTCAAGTTCGGAAGGGAACAACTCATTATCTGGTGTCCAACAGTATAGGAGCCGGCACCAGAGCAGGAGAATTAATCCTCCTACAAATGTAAGTGATCTGGTATTTGAGCGTAGTTTTTGGAAAATTTGTATGAGAATTAAGGGGGAAAAGACTATGAACTTTATGCCTTGGGGTTACTTTATGGGCAAATTTTGTACATTCACAAGAGTTATTAGGGGTATAGGTCCAGAAAGCAGCTACAGATATGGAAGAAGTAGAAGAAAGTTATAATTTTAACTCTAATATCCTCACCTAAATCTCCTAATATGCCCAGATTAGTTAGAATAGAAGGCATGACTACAAAATTAAGAACTAAAAGAGGGAATAAACAGAGTAAGAAGAGGTTTGAATCATGGAGCAAGTCATTCAATAAACCTCCAGAAGAAAAAGAGGCTATGGACTACACTCCAGATGAATATTCTGAGCTTTGAACTCCTGTGTCTAATACTCGGTTCTCGACGACATTTCATAACCCAAAGAACAAGAATATTGCTAATTAACTCTGGAAGAAACACATACTCTGATTTTGACAACTTCCGTTCGGCAAAATAAGCTGAAGAAGGCTAATAGAGAAGACTCTTGAATCAGCATTCGACCACTTGGCTCTGATAATAGCCAAGCAGAAATTGTTGGAGTCGCTAGTACAACAAATTTTGTAGCTCCTTCGTTAATAGATATCAAGAAAAAGCCGAAAACTGAGGTTATAATTAATGAAAACGCGCAATGAAGGAAGTCGATCAGGTACCAACAGAATATGATAGCCAAAGAGGTAGATGAGAGCCCGAAAATTCGAAAATATGAGTCAGTCCAAAGGATCAATAAAAAGATGTTACAGGAATTGAAAGATACAGTTACTCCGAAAAATCAAGAGGAAAAGAAACAAATACAGCCTTTAGTAGAAAAGAAAGGTGATGTAGACTCCATCGTTGAGGAATATAAGAACCACGAAGATGACTCTAAGCTCTTTAGAACGTAAGTCCTAGGGACTTAATATTACCATTATTTAAACAAAAAATGGCCTAAATGCTTTATTTAGAGAAAATCTTGCAAGAAAATCGAACAAAAAGAGCAAGAAGAACGCCAGACCTGAGACTGCCGATAGGAGTAGAAGGAACAAGAAGGTTGAAGAATATGGGGCAAGCCAAGAAGAACAGTATGTGCTTTAGGGGGCTTTAATTTCTTCGAGATCTCTTATTTCTACTTCTCTAAACAACTTTCATAGGTTCTTGAGCAATGACCATATTGAGAATTATCTAAAATAAAAACACTGCCAGAGACTTCACTGATAGTAACAGGAATGCAAATGGGGTAGTCGGGATGAAGAGCCACTTCGGAGGAATTATGAGTAAGCTATTAGTCTAATAATAGCAAAATAACAAAACTAAATTCTCTGCACTTTCTGAACAAATGGGTCAGATCAAACTAGGCAAGAATGGCAAAATGAACCTCAGGAAAAATTCTAAACTAACCAGTGAGGCGATGGGAAACTTTAAAGAAAACCATAAGGCTCAGCCTAAGATGATCAAGAGAAAGCTTGGGATGAGACATACCAGAGAGGCACAAGAGGAACATAAATAGCTGAGAGAGAAATAAATCAGAGAATAGTGTCAGGAGCAAGGACATTCTTGTGGACGATCTCTCAAATTTCCCATTCCTCAAAGATGTTAGTGAGGGCTGTTATAATTTACCCAGGATGAGAGATCTTAATAAGTTTGAAAGCCGGAAGAAATTTCTAGGCTACCAGGCATGCTTTATTCAGAAATTAGTCTCTAAAATGACAAAGGTTGCTGAGATGAGAAGATTAGTCCATCTCCCTATCCCAAAATGATGAGGAAATATGCAGTTGTCTATTATCAGGAATAAATCAGGGTTCAACAAGTTTCATCCAAAATATACTCTAGCAATAACTATCACCTACGAAAATGGGGATAACCTTGTGAAGGAAATACTTGTTGGCAAGAAGAGAAGCGGTAGGGGTTAAAACACTCACATCTGATAATAATTTAGGCAACAAGACTTCCAACTATCTGGTCTCTCTTGATATAAAGAATCCAAAACCAAAAGGAGACATGTACATTGGAAAAGTACGAGCTACTGATTCTAGAAAGAGCCAATATTACATATTTGATGATGGGAAATAACCCCCAGGAATGCTCCTCAAAGGAGAAATGGAGGTCAACTCTTATGGGAATAAACTTTAGCAGCCAGAAGATGCAGAGTATTGGCAATATTAGGACTACAAATATTTATATGCACAAAATAAACCCTAATGAATGGGATACAAGTAATCCTCATAGTGATAGACTTCAGTACTCCAGTGCTAACGAAATTTTTAATGATGAGACTGCTATTATCTTATGTGATAAATAAACCAAAATGGTCAGATTCTAAAGGTAAATATGTATATAACTTCCATGGACGATGAAATAAAGCTTCTGTCAAGAACACTCAGTTGATACCCGAATCATATCCGTTTAGCCCCGAAACAATAGCAGACAAGGAAGAAATGGCAATGTACCAACTTGGAAGATGGGATAACAATGAATTCACCGTCGATTTCCACCACCCAATGTCTGTCTTCCAAGCTTTCGCCCTCTCATTATCTATATTCGATACTAATTAATTCAATATGTAAATTTCGTCCTGGGGTTTTGGGGTTTTGGGGTTTTGGGGTTTTGGGG